TGCAAACCCTGGGCTCGGGGCCTCTCAGCATCACCAGTTGCTGTGTGCGTGCACGGAGGACCAAGCTAGCTCGCAATAAACACCTCTTTGCTGCTTACATTGATCTTGGGTCTCTGGTGGTCTTTTGGGGGTCCCAAATTCGAGCATAACAAGGGGATATCCAACAGGTAGTCGAGTCTATACTAACCCTCCAGAATCAACTGGACTCTTTAGCCCCTGTGGTCCTACAAAACTGCTGTGGACTGGACCTATTAACAGCAGAGAGAGGTGGACTCTGTCTGTACCTATAGGAGGAGTGTCGTTTTTCTGTCAATCAGTCAGGGGTAGTGAAGGACAAGATCAAACAACTACAAGAACAGCTAGAAAAGAGGAGACAGCAATGAGGCCAACAGGCTCCATGGGGAATGTTCAGTCAAGTGTGGCCTTGGTCCTCCCCCTCACAGGATCCCTGTTAGTCCTCTTTATGTTTCTCCTAATAGGACCATGTCTGTTAATTTGCCCACAGAAGTTCCTGCAAGATCAGATACACAAATTCACAAATCAGACAGTCAATCAACCACTTATTTAAGACACTACCAGCCCCTGATGCCCAAGATGGAGACCTACGACTCATGACCAACTCCTCTGGTTCCAGAGACTCTGCCCCCATCTAAAACCCTCCCTGACCCCTTTTACAGGAATGAGATTCTTCACCCCTAACCAGCAAAAAGAAGCTACAGGAGAAAGTTTATCATCCCTACCCTAGGTATCTATAAAAACAAAAAGGGAGGAATATTGGCATCAGATCAACATTGGCGTTAGATCTGCCATTTTAGGTTGGGAGCCATTTTTATCTAGAGACTGCTAGGTTTGGATTTAGGAGTCATTTTATCTACAGATCCTGAGGCAATGCTGCTTATCCTTGCCTTATCCACTGCCTGCTAGAGGGTCTACCCAACCCAGCCCATGACATAATCCCTAAGCATGGTTGTGAAATTCCTCTTTCAGGCTATAGAGCTGTCTGTGAGTGCCCACAGGCTGCTGCTCTCCTCGGAGGGACAGCCTTGTTAGTTGGCTCCATGCTCTGATAATAAATCTCTCGTGTGGTGTGGTCTTTGAACTTTGCATGGACTCTGCGAGTGTCCTTCAATCCTCTTTTTTTTTTTTTTTTGGTACTGCTGGGGATTGAACCCAGGACCTTGTGCATGCGAGACAAGCACTCTACCAACTGAGCTATATCCCCACACCTATTTTTGTTGTTGTTTGTTTGTTTGTTTTTAGAGACAGGGTTTCACTGGGTTGCTTAGCACCTCGCTTTTGCTGAGGCTAGCTTTGAACTCACAATCCTCCTGTCTCAGCCTCCCAAGCCTCTGGGATTATAGGAGTTCGCCATTGTGCTGGACTCAATCTTTTTAATTTCTATAATCAACAAAGTCTCCAAAAAATTGAGTGACATAAATATGCTAATTCCCTTTTGTTTCCTTTTTCCTGACTGTACTGAGGCTGGAATCCAGAGTTTCCCTGCCTACTGGGCAAGCACTGAGCTGCAGTCCAGCTGCTTTGTTTTAAGCAATTCTGCCCTAGGGCAACCCTGTGACACACCCCTGCAATGCGGTGGACTGAGAGGCTGCGACCAGAGAATCCATTCAAGGCCAGCCTTGGCAATTTAGTAAGACTGGACAAGTCACTCAGTGGTAAAGCACCCTTGGATTTAATTCCCAATACAAAATTAATATAATAATTCTGCCTTAGAAATTAGAAGATGACTTTCTGGTAATTACTAATTCAAATGCCCTTGGGGTAATTAAAATTTCCACCTCCAGGCCAATCCCAGCAATTCTGTGCAAGGGGGTGGAGGCCACCTGCCCCTGCCCACCACCACCACCACCATGGTTGGCCAGGACTGGGGGCTGCCTTGCCAGGGGCTGCAAGAGCCAGAGGGCTTCCCACTGTACATCTGGTTGGAGGGAGGGAGATTGAACCAAGGGGATTTTACCACTACATTTCATTTTATTTTTTATTTTGAGAATGGGTCTGGCAAAGTTGCTGAGGGTCTCATTAAATGGCTGAGGCTGGCCTGGGATTGTGCTCCTTCCTGTAGCAGTGGTCCACTTTATGCTGTGAATACAACCCTTGCTGCTCTGCCATTGTGACTTATTTTTTTAAGAAGGTGTTTCTTTCTCTTCCTCTCTCCCAGCCCCTTCCTATTCTCTCCCCTCCCTAATCTGCAGGTTTGGGGAAAGAGGTTTACTTTCTTCCCATCCTACCAGTGTTATCCATCCTTGAGCACTCACCCACCACAGGAACAAAGAGATTCAGACTTGCTGATGCAAAAGTTCCCAGAAATTACTATCTCTCAAATTAACAAATGAATTACCACTTCAAACATGGAACATCAGGAATGTATCCTTTGAATCATCTCTTTAAAAAAAAAAAAAACTTGTTTGAGGCTGGAGAAATCTATATGGGACTCTTTCGTGTCATTGCTTTAAAAAGAAAGTGGGGGAAAGAAAATCATTGTACCCCCATCAAAATGTACAACTTTATGTTTGCATTATCAGTTTGAAATAAATTTATTTAATTTTTTTTAAAAACCCCAATTTCCCCTGATGGGCAGAATCACAGGAGTCCCTTGTGCTTCTCCTTTGTTAGGAGAGCAATAAAAAGTTGTCCTTATTCTCAAAACCATGTCCTCTTTATCAGATGGGCATTGGGGATGAGGACCAAGCTTTTGGTAAAAATCCCCAGCTTCAGCCTCCCCAGGATTGGGAATACAGGCCTTTAATTAATTAACTTATTTTTTAAAGACATGGTTTTTCTAATTTGCTCAGGCTGGCCTCTGAGATTCTTCTGCCTCAGTATCTCCAGTGGCTGGTCACTAGGCAGAAGCAGCAAATTTTAAAAATTAAAATTAAAAAATTTAAACAAATTATGCCAGGGAGAATTGTCTATTTAAAAGGAAAGATGGGGGAGCTCCCAGAAGGAGGAGAAAGAGTTTATTCAGCCAATGGGAGATGGTCAGCTGGAGGGGATTCTACCCAGTTAGAATTAGCACACCCACAGGGCACAGAGGGTCCCGGTTCTCCTAGACATAAAAGAAAGAGGGAGTTAAAGCTGAGTGGATGCTGTTCCACACTGAGTGAGGCCCACAGCTTAGATGGACACTCCAGCCGATGTTATGCCAGATTCGTGGGACCCCAATAGACCTCCAGGAGCCAAATCCAATGCAATCACACAAGAGTCTTTATTGCAAGCTCGAGCCAGGACTCACAACCGTTTCCGATGCAGTGGTCCCAGGGAATGAGTCCTGGTCCTTTGTTCAGTGAGATTTTATAGGTTTTGGGGGGATACTCTATGTGTCACAACACCACACAGCAAATCATTCCATATTGCGGGAATATCAAACAACTCTTAACATTGATTAGCACATTCACTGGCGGGAACAAGTTGGGTAGGGGTGATTGGTTAGTACAATAGAGGGATTCCTTTGAACTGATTGGTTTAAGCCATGAGGGGTATACTACATGGTTTCCCAACATGTTATCAACCACTACATGCTAAACTGTATGGTTTCCCAACATGTTATCAACCACCATAAACTACTTGGGGGTCATTTGGCAATCCAGGTATTTTCCCTGTCTCATGCTGATTTGAGGTTGCTAGGGGATTGCTATGGGTCCCCACCTAGCCTGACTGAGTCAGGGACACCTGCTACAGCAGATCTCTCCTGTTATTTGTAGATAAACAACTTAGCAGGGTGGGAATGTGCCTAGGAGTGCTCTGTGGGTCTTTCCAAGGACAAAAGTCATGTTCCTTCCTTAGACAGGCTTTGCTCTGAGGTAGAGGCTGGTTTTTCAGTCCCAGGCCTGCCAGGGGCCTCAGCCATGCCAGTCACCCTTGGGTTTTTCTACAGATCTGACACATCCAGAGAGACAAAAATAAATAAATAAATAAAGGGACAGAAGATGTCAATATTAGGACAGCTGCCATTATTAAAACTGTTAACAGTTATAATATTTTTGCTAAAAGCAATGATCTCTGGAGCCTGCGGGAGTCCTATGTGTAACACGACACAGGATAAAGCTCGATACCTCTGCCTCCTTTGTACTTGTCCCCTTCATTCCCCTGCTCAGCTCTGCAAAGGACATATGACTCATTTAAGGAGTGTTCATTCAGAAACTAGTACTACGAGGTTTATTGGTCCTAAATGTACCTAAACTACCCTGTCCCCCTGAAGTCAGAATCAGACAAGCAGTTGGTATAGAGAGGAAAATTTGAGTCAGGTCGGATTAAGGAGGCCAATTTTGAGTGAGTCTGGGAAGTTGGAGGCTGTCCAGAGGGACTGAAATGTTGATTCCTTCAGAGCCCTTCCTCCACCCTTATCAAGAACCTGTCCCTGCTCCAACCTGTTGCCAAGGTAACCAGTCCCAGGAATTGCCCCTCCCTACAGGGAGCTATAAGGTTGTTAATGTGTCCTGGGCTGCACTATCCCGCCCTTCCCTCTTCAGCCCACCTGTGTCCCACCTTTGGGCCATCCCACCCCTAGTCACATGTGCAGGAAGGAGAAAGATAAGGGGAAGAGGCAGGAGAACTGAGGAAGTCTAGGGCATATAAAAAGGGCAGAACACCTGCTTCTGGGGATCCAGGATACCAGCGATGGCCCCCTTCTCCCTCCTGGGAGAAGTCTAGGTTACCCCTTTTTAGATAAACCCTGCTTTATGTTTGCCTTGGCTGCTTCTCTAATGTTCAGTCTTCAACATGTGGGGAAGCAGGACCTGTCAACAGTAACTGGCCGTATCACTCCTTCAAGACTGAGGCCAGATTTGCAGGACATTCCAGCATCCTGTTTCAGACCCACTTCTCAGAACCAGAACTGAGCGCTCCACAGAGCTCCTGTCCCTGCCCCAGGCCACCATGTACCTCAACCTAAGGCTCCCATCAGCATCCCAAGGTGGGGCTGAGATACTGAGTCTTCCCAGTAAGGCCAAGCTGATTAAAGTTCTGTAACTGCTTTTCTATTTTGCTCACTCCCAAGTCCCTTAAGACCACCCATAAAGAAACATGCATACTCTACCAGAGTACTGCCGTTTGTAGCCATTGTACCCTGGGACCTCCAGGTAAAGGAACCTGGTTGACTTAACTAGCTGCAGACCCTTCCTAAGTCATTTTGTCTCTGGGACTATAGGCGTGCACACCACGCCTGGCTTTCTTGTAATTTTTTAAGAATATTGATTTTTTTAGTTATAGGTGGACACATTATCTTTATTTTATCTTTTTATATGGTGCTGAGGATTGAACCCAGTGCCTCACACATGCTAGGCAAGCACTCTACCTCTGAGCCACAACCCCAGCCCCCTTTCTTGTTATTTTTCAATGTGAGACAGGATCTCATAATTTGTTTATTGTCTCGCTAAGTTGCCTCAAACTTTTGATCCTACTGCCTCACCTCCCAAGTAGCTGGGATTACAGACATGTTTCTTCATACCTGGCTGCAAGGGTTAGTTTCTTAGTGCTGCATAACAAATTGCCAGAAACCATGAAGTGTAGACAGTAATAATTTACTTTCTCAGGGTTCTGGTATTTGAACCAAGGTATTTGCAGGACTGTAAGGTTGGCCTTAGTCTAAGCAACTCTATTTTAAAATAAACCTGAAGTCTTACCAGGCAAGCCCACAGGGCCCTCCAATAAGTCATTAGGCATAGCCTAATAAAACAAGTCACTTTCCACAACCCTGATAAGAGTCAGTGAACTCACTTGATGTAAACATGTCATTTGCCTTATCCCTGATAAGAGCTAGAAGGGTAATATCACGGTGGAATCCACCAGACCATATGTCCTCTCTAAGATGTCACTAATAAAACTGGTAACAGCTGATAGGGGCCAAAAGGGATGCAGAAGCCCTCAAATTCTATATAAATAATAGAGCAAAAGGACAGACATTCAGCCAGTGGGCACTGATGCACACAAGCCTGAGAGCCTGATGAGGACCTGGACTGACACCCAGCTCTTCTCATCATCTGCCTGATCCTCTGCATCCTTCTCACTGCTCTCCAACTCTACAGCAGCCTCCTGACCCTGGTGAGAAAGGTAACTTCTCCTTACAACCATCTCCTCAGCCAGCTGTCAACTCCACCCCAGGAGAAGAGTCATCGGTTCCTGACCTGGTCACTGTGGTCTGAGTGAATGTGGATCTGCTGGACTTGAGACCCGAGACTTAAGACTTTAAATCTTCACTTAAGTTTAGCATGAAGAGGGAATATCTGTAATAGGTCTGTCATGATTGTGTTTGCAGTGCTTAGAGTTAACTTAGAATGTTGTGTTTAGTGCTTTTATCAGTCTGAATTATCATATTTGCAATGCCTAGCATTAAGCACTGTCATTTCTTGATTAAGAACCTATAGAGTGAAATTGTATTGAGTGAGTTGAGTGAATAAAGCATTGAAAAGAGCATTAGCAGTGGACATTCTTTATTTCTCACCTTGACTAAATATGTCACACCTTTGCCCATCATGACAAGAACCATACTCCCTCTGAAGCCTGTAGGGAAGAGTCCTCTGTTGCCTTCTCCAGCTTTTAGAGACTGTCAGCCACCCATCCCCCAACCTCACCCCCTTTCAGCAGGAAGTAGCTTGGAGACTTTGTTGCCCACTTTCCATAGAAATAGAATGTAGAAATTGATATTGAGGAATAGTAACAGGGGTTCACTTGATGGTTTGACTATATCCCTTGTGGCTTTGAAATTTGCATGTTTTTTTTTTTCTTTTTCCCAATCTTCTATTCCCTATACTCCCTGATCTTCATTTCCCTAACTTCTTCCTAATCTTTCCTCCCTAATCTCATTTTCTCTGAATCATCTCTATAAAAGCCCCCTGTTCCTGCTGATGGGCAGAATCTCAGCCTTTACGACAGGAGTCCCCTGTGTTTCTCCTTTGTTAGCAAAGCAACAAATCATTTTTTTTTTTTCTCAAGACCTTGTCTTTGTTATTGGATTGGTGTCGAGGGCGACGATTGATCTTTTCATTAAGGTCAGGGTCACAGAAACCCTAAGTTAGAATTTAAATATATCTTGGTAAGTGACATGGTTCTACCCATCATTGAGACTCTCCTCACCAATGCTTTTTGCACATGCTACAAATCGGGTCAGAGGAAATGAGAGTGGAGGACACCACAAAATTACAAGAATCAGTAGTGAGTAAGTGTCAGGGACTCCTGGGACAGATCACCTGTGTTCAAACGATTAAGCAAATTACTCGGAATACTGGAGGACTTAGATGCCATTCAGAATGCCTCATAATGAGGGAAAAAATAACCGTTAGGTGGTGTTTATTATTTCTGGCTCTGCAGAGAAACAATTAGAATGTGAAAGACGAGGTGTAGAAATGAATATGGATAGATATAGCTATGAGGAAATTCTGGGAATTGGTTTAGGTGCTCAGGGCTGCCGAGAAGTCCCACCACATGCTGCCTGCATCTGTGGGACTGGGAAAGCCAGTGCTGAACTCAGCCTGAGGTCCAAAGCTCAAGAGATTGGGGAAGCCACTAGTATAAAGCCAGAGTCCAAAGGCCTAAAGTCTTGGAGCTCCAAAGTCCACAATCAGAAGGTGAGTGTTCTAGCTCAGGAGGAGACAGAAATTCCCCCATCATTTGCCTTTTTCTTTACCACTGAGCCACATCCACAGCACTTTTTGTATTTTGAGGCAGGATCTCACTAAATTGCTGAGGCTAGCCTTGAGTTTAGCATCCTCCTGAGTCAGCCTTTTAGCCACTACACTCAGCTTCACTTGCCTTTTTACTCTAGCTGAACTCAGAGATTGATAATGACCACTCTTCATCCCTGCCTAGGAAAATTTGCAGTTAGATAAGAAGGTCTCTAAAGAATGTGATAAGGACAGCGTGGTGGCACACACCTGTAATTTCAGCAGTAGGGAGGCTGAGGAAGAAGGATCCCAAGTTCAAAGCCAGGCTCAGCAACAGCAAGTTACTGTGAAAGACCCAGTCTCTGAATAAAATGCAAAAAAGGGCTGGGAATATGGCTCCGTGGTTGAGTGCAAAAACAGACAAACAAAATGTCTCCTTGCATTCTCCAAGTTCTTTCCCAGGGATCAGTAAGCAGTGCACTGGGGCTCACTATTAACAGTGTGTTCACAGGGTTAGCAGCCCCGGGCGGAACAACATCTGTCCTGGTGAGAGCAGATCTTCACTGCTCAGCCTCCTGCCACAGATGCCAATCTCCTCAGGAAACACCCTGATGGACACACCTAGAAAAAGTGGGTTTTTAAAATTTTGTTTTGTTTTTTGGGTGCTGACGGGGTGGTGGGGGCAGTTACCTAGGGGCATTCGACCTCAACCACTGAGCCACATTCCCAGCCCCTTTTTGTATTTTTTTTTAAGAGAGAGAGAGAGAGAGAATTTTTTAATATTTATTTTTTAGTTTTCGGCAGACACAACATCTTTGTATGTGGTGCTGAGGATCGAACCCGGGCCGCACGCATGCCAGGCAAGCGCGCTACCGCTTGAGCCACATCCCCAGCCCCCCTTTTTGTATTTTATTTAGAGATAGGGTCTCACTGAGTTGCTTAGCACCTCCTTGTTGCTGAGGCTGGCTTTGAACTCACAGTCCTCCTGTCTCAGACCCCTGAGCCACTGGGATTACAGGCATGTGTCACTGCACCCAGCCAGAAAAAAGTGTTTTTCCAGGTATCTGTGTGTCCCTTAGCCCAGTCCAGTGGACACCTAGAGACAGCTGCAGTAGCACCCACCTTTAACCCCAGCTACTGGGGAGGCAGGAGGAATACAAGTTCAAGGTCAGAGTGGGCAACTTAGTGAGATGCTATCTCATAATAAAATAAAAAGGGCTGGATACAGCTCAGTGATACAGCAATTGCCCAGCATGCATGAGGCCCTGGGTGTAATCCCAGCAAAAAAAAAAAAAAGGTGACACCTATAATTAAATATGACAGTGTTCAGCAGCAGAAAGGCCAACAGATAAACTGAAATAAGAGATGCCAAACATTAGAAAATATGATAGGTATGCAGATCTAATGGATAAGGAAGGACCTTAATGATCTCTAGTTAGGTGTTATCCATATGAGCCAGGTGTTATAGCAACAGTTATGAACAGAGAAATGAATCCACCATCTCCCACCACCAAGTGACTCGGAAAGCAAGTGAGTTCCAGGCCAAACTCAGAGATATGAGACTCTCTTGTTAGATGGAAAACAGCATGGTCCTGTGGCAAACTGCTGAATGAGCAGGCTGAATGGATGAAAACCACAGGCAGGAGGTGCTCATGGAAACACCATACCCCAAGGTGAGGGACCCCAGGGTGGGACCTGGGAGGCGAAGTTGGGGCGCATGTTAGACTGGAATCTAGGACCCGTCTGTGCTCTGAGATGGAATCAGAACGTGTCAGCCATTCTCACAGGGAACACAGGGGAGAAAACCAATGTGAGAGAGATTGAGGCTTCAAATTTCATTTCAATTGAAACAAGCTAGATATGAGGGCGGGGGTGCAGAGTGGCCACAGGTGACCCGAGCTGGGTGCAGTGGTATACATCTGTAGTCCCAGAGACGTGGGGGGCTGAGGCAGGAACATGGTGAGTTCCAGGCCAAACTCAGCAACTTAGGGAGACCCTGTCTCAAAAATAAACAAATAAAAAGGCCTGGGGCTGCAGCTCCGTGGTAGAGTAGCCCTGGGTTTAATCTCTAGTACCCAAACAAGCAAACAACAATAAAAAGAACAGTTCCTGAAGGCTGATATTTAAGTCCTTGTCCTCTTCCTGAACACATAGCTAATGGGATTTCAAGGTGTCACCTCACTCTCTGGGGAAAGGTGGGCATTTCAGAGGTGCTGTGAGCAGTCCAGCTAAGGCAGCCTGCCTGGAGATAAGCAAAGAAAACAACAAAAATTAGTGGCCTCTGTGAGAGAGCCAGGTCCTGCATGCAAGCCACATAACAAGTGAACTTTCCTTCCACAGGCCACACTCCTGTGGACACTGGAGCTAGATTAGTGCCTTCCTCCAGAAAGGCTGAGGGTGACAGTCACAGTAAGAACTAGTGCTGCTATTCCCAGGACAGTCCACCAAGCTACAGCCTCTGCTGTGCCCAGGACCTAGGCTGCAGTCTTCCCCTGCTGCCGAGAGCATACAAGCCTACCAGGCCTGCTGGCCATGCAGGCCCTGGCTGGGGCCTGGGGGCACTGCTTCCACAGAGGGAAGGCCCACATGGCTGGCCTGGGATGGGGTGGCGAGACTGCACCTCTTTCCACACCTGTATTTGTACTGGCCCATGAGCATATTTATAGAATGACAACCTTGGCCCCCCTTCCTCAGGGGAGATGTCAAGATGTACTGTGGCCCTCCCATGACTTACTGGGTATTAGAAAAGTTGCAAATCCAATCTTCCTATACGTAGTGCACTTTCCATGTTGGGCATGGTTTATCATTTCCAAAGTTGCAGTTCATTCACCCCCACTCTCTGCAAAATGTAGTCTCAAGCCTTCTCTTTCATGCTCCTCCAATTCCATTCTCTCTTTCCTGTCAATTGAGGGCCTTGTGCGTCAGGGTTCTCCAAAGAAACAGAATAGGCTATGAGGGGAGGAAGAGAATTGGAAAGTAGAGAGATTGAGACTGCATTAGTTTAAGGATTGCCCATGAGATTGTGGGTGTCTGCAAGTCCAAGATGTGCAGGCAGAAGGCAAAAAAAAAAACCCTCTGATATGCAGATGCTAATACACAGTAAGGGGGGGAGGGGAAACTAGAAGTCTATTGGATTAAACCAAGGTGAATGAAGGGAAGGGAATGGGAAAGACAGTAGAATTAATGGACATAACTTTCCTATGTTCATATGTGAATGCGTGGCCAATGTAACTCCACATCATGTTTAAGCACAAGAATGGAAAGTTATACTCCCTGTATGTATATGTCAAAATACATTCTACTGTTTGTAACTAAAAAGAACAAATTTAAAAATGTGCAGGAGACACAGGGAGCATCAGTGCTACTGCCTGACTCCGAAGGCCGACTACAGACAGAGCTCCCTCTCGGGAGACCCCAGTCTTTGCTCTCAAGGCTTCAATGAATTGGATGCCCCTCCTACATCACAGAGGGAAATATGCTTTATTCAGTGTCTACAGATATGGGACGGGTATAGGTCAGTGGCAGAGTAGTTGCTTAGGATGTGTGAGACCCTGGTTTCAATCTCCAGCACCACACACCAACAACAAAGTCTATGGTTTTAAATGCTAGTCACATCTTCAAAACACCTTCATAGAAACATCTACAGTGGTGGTATTTGAAAAAAACTGGTTACCATAGCCTACCCATGTTAGCATATTAAATAAACTAACATACCCACCTTTTTCCTTTTTGTGTGTGTGTGTGTGTGATGTTGGGGATGGAACCCAGGGCTTTGTGCATTGGAGGCAAGCACTCTACCAACAGAGCTCTTTCCCCAGCCCTCCTACTTATTTTACTGGAGGGCTGAGGAAGGTGGAAGCAGCCTGCCAGGTCCTGCTGAACCCCTCTGGATTTGCAGGAGCCTCGGACCTCCTCAAGGCCAAGTGCTGCAATTTCTTCCTCTACTGGAAGGTGGGCTCTGGAGCACACTGGGTAGTCTGGACACATCCCTCTCTCCAGTGTGCAGTGACCCAGCAGCTTCTCCACTGCTCTGCTCAGGGGCCCTTCTCCCAAACCCTGGGACAGTGTTCTTTGCTCAACTAGTTTGATTTTGCAGCAGCATTTACCTCCAATGACTCCTCCTCTTCCTTGAAAACTATCTGACTGTAAGATTCCAGGGCTCTGTGCACAGGATTACCTCAAGGTGGGAGGTTGTCTCTCTCCTTTCCCCTCTCCTGCCCTTCTTCCCCCTTTTCTTTCCATTTTTATCATCTCTCTTTTTTTCCCCATACTGGGGGTTGAATCCAGGGGTGCTCTACCCCTGAGCTCCATCTGCAACCCTTTTTATTTTGAGACAGTTCTTGTTAAGATGCCAGGCTGGCCCTAAACTTGTGATCCTCCTGCCTCAGCCTCCCCAGATGCTAGGATGACAGCATGGCCACAGTACCCGTCCCTTCCTCTCCCCTCCTCCAGGCTCTCCAGAGGCTGGAGCTGACATTTCCCTTCCCTGGGCTGGTTCTCCACTCCAGGGTTGCTAGCTGTGCCCAGCAGTTCCTGCCAGTCATAGGCAGGAGCTCCAGCAGGCTGCAGCAGAGCATCACTCCAGGGCCTGCACTGGAGTGCCCAGTAGGTGCTCTGCACACCTGTGTTGAATGACAGAAGGACCCACACAATCACAAAATGAGGCAGTCAGCATCAGCACCATCCCTGTTTCTGCATGAGGAAACTGCAGCACAGAGAGGTGATGCAGGCCTCAGATCACCTGGCTGGCTAGGACTTGAGTGAGTCCTGACTCAAATGCTGAGTTAAATGCAAAAAAAAAAAAAAAAAAAAGTAAGGGCATATTCAAAGCCTCAAAAGATTAATGGGGAGAGGGACTCCTATGCAAGGAAATATCGGGTGGGCAAGAAACTGACTGGAGTGGATAGTGAGGATTAACCAAATGCTGTGGGCCAGCAATCTCTAAGCCCAGCATTTTATTTGCTTTGGGGCTCTAGGGGGCATCGCTATGCGCATAGATTCCCAAACACTCAACAGCGATTCCTGGGCCAGTCACAGGCAGAAGCTCCAGCAGGCCTCAGCAGAGCATCAAAGGCTGTACTGTTTGCTAAAGCACCTAAGCCTGCCGGCTCTTGCTGATGATCCTTGACTCCTCTGCATGCCTCTCCTCCAGGCCAAAGTTCCTGGCCCATGCTTTTGAGGTGGGTGTGCCTGAATCCTGCAAATGCTGAGTCCACATGTCCAAGGAGGAGTAAGATCTCCAGATGGCCCTGCCAGATTCTGGCTGTCCTCAGGGAACATCTCTCCTTTGCTTGGTCCATCTCCTGCTAAAGTCACAGAATCTGGGCATTTGACTAGCAACTCTGGCAAGTAGTGGCACCAAGGCTCATGGAATGACCGGAGAGAGACAGCCAATGTACGGGTCCTCAGCCCAGTAACCTTCTCCCCTACTTTCACATGGCAGGCCATAGAAAATGGAGGAACTGTTTCCTTCCCTGTGTTATGGTGAAATCTCACCATATAATGCAATAAATCACGGAGTGGATCCTAAAGCTTGAGATGGGACCTTTATTCACACTCCCTTGGGGTGTTCTCAAGGGAGAAGCATTTCTTACATGACATGGAGTCTCCGAGCAAAATGGAGTCTGTTTGGTCATTGCCCATATAACCTGTCCCATAACACCTATGTCCTTGAAATAGCATCTGAAGAAAATCAGAGTAGCAATCCTCTGGAAGAATTTTCTCTGCCTTCTGTCCGTCGAAGAGTCCAACTCCATTGCTGGGCAGATGAAAAAGGGTCATGGGCATGAGAACTGTTTGGAACTGGGGACAGGCCTTCTCCGAAACTCTGGAGCCTGAATAATGAAGGATGACTCCGGGAAGATCCATCTGAGAATGTAGACTATATTCAGCGTAGTGCCTTGTCTGTGGGTCCGAGGCCCTAGCTCTGCTTGCCCCTCACTAGTCCTCTCTCTGCCATTTGCACCAAGTAACCTTCACTCAGGCTAGCTTCACAGAGTACCTGAGCTCTCCCCATGATCATTCCGCTGCTCGCAAGGGTCCTTGGGTGCATCGCGGTCCTTAAACTGTGCAACTGTACTTCAGCGCCAGCATGGAAGGCGCGGGCTGATACCTTCCGTGCCGCACAGCGGACAAGGGGAGGGGTCCTGAGTTTCTCCAGCCCTCCTCGCCTGGGAGGGGCACGCTCGGACTAAAGGTTTTGGCTGGAAGGGGGTTGTGCCTGTCGGCAAGGACTAGTGCCTCACTCCCCCTACCCCAATTCTGGCTTTCGGCCAGCTCTACCAGGCGTCCCTACGCCCCAAGTCAGAGAGCATCGGAAAGAACCCCTAGGCGGCTCTTCCAGACCCGCGGCGGCCCGCGGTGCAGTACACCGGCGCGGGTCCTCTGCCCACCGCGCCCTGGACCAGCCGCGCGCGCCTACCCGCGCGCCTCTGCTTACCCCGCTCCCGCCCAGGGAGGGCCACAGCCCCCGGCCGGCGCCCGGGCCTGGGCGCGCGAGGAGCGGGGCGGACCGCACCCTCGCGGGTCCTTGCCCATCGCGCCCCCTGCCCGGTGCCAGCTGTGTGCGCCAGGCGCCCGCCCAGGGGAGGCCGGCGGGCGCGGCCGGCCCAGAGAGCCGCGGAGCCCCGCGCCCGCCCGAGCAGGCCCTCGGAATCCGGACGGCGCCCGGGGCTGGGCGCGCGCCGCGGGGCGGGGCCGAGCGCGCGGGCCGGCTGGGCCGGGGGTGTCGGATGTCACCCCCCGCGCACACCTCGGCCGGGGGGCGGGGGAGCGAACCACTGAGATGCGGAGACCTCCTCGGTCCTAGAGCGGAGCAGGAAGTGTCCCAGGGGAGGGAGCCGGAGGGCTCGGCCTTTCCTTTCGGCGGCGGAGGGGCCTGAGCGGCCGCCAGCGGGACCCACCGCGGCGGTGAGAGCGGCCGGCCCCGGCAGGGCCCGCGCAGAGCCGCCCGCAGCGCGCGCACGGGGCTGAGGCCGCGCGTCGCCTTCCAGGCGCCTCCCTGGGCTTCCAGTCTAGCGCGGAGCTCTGGATGGTCCGCAGGCTGGTCTCGGACGGCCGGAGACCATCAGGCCCATGCACTGAGCCCGCTTCGGCAAGGACACCGGAGACCCGGCGGGAAGGACGGAGCCGCGGCCCGGGGTCCCGGGCTGCAGGTGAGGGGCCCCGAGGTGGTTGTGCTAGAGGCGTGTAGGAGCGAAAGTCTCCGCTTCCTCGGCCTAAAAGGCCCTCCTCTTCGCTTTCTGCAGACCCGGCTCGTCCCTCCTCCGAGAACTTGCTTTAAGCAAGCCCCGCCCCCGCGGGAACCCTCCCCCGACTAACGTGGGTTCATTCATCAGGCTTCTGCTCCCGAGCCTCCCGCGCGCCAGGTGCGGGCCACCGAGAGACTCTGAGATGATCCGAGAGGGCAGGGACTGGAGGCTGAGGGTGGGCCCTAGGGTCTCAGCAGAGGGGCTGTCCTGGTAATCAGGGACCCAGCAGGTAGGTGATGTGTGGCCCGAGAGGAGCCAGTAGGGATCAGAAGGGGTTCCTAAGGAAGGAGCAGTGGCTGAATGGAATCCGGTGGTGGGGAGAGCTGTCATGGGTTCCAGCCAAATTTTGTGGTCAAGGGCGCGTCTGTATTTTTACTTTGTAAAGCAAAGAAGTCCGGAGACCGGTTTCTCTGGTGCACTCAGTTGATTTGTTACTGTTCTGGACTCGCTTGTCTTTCTGCCTGCCTTGAATGCCCTCAGGTTAGGGTGCTGCCCAGCTGAGAACTTCACCAGATGGGGGTGAAGCCACCATGCCTGAGATCACAGAGACCCAAGGGCACAGGGGGGAGATGTGCATGTTTCAAGGTGTGGATCAGTGACCACTGCCCCTGTGTGTGTCAGCTGGGTTGTGTGCTCAGCAGCCTAGGAGGTGTAGGGAGCACTCCTGTGACAGCCTGTGGAGTTGGGTTCCTTGAGGGATTAGGGCCACACTCCGAGAGTCCCCCTCTTTCATACTGACTGTGGAAGGGCCATGGAGGAAGGGTGTACCGTGGACTGAGCAGGGTTTGAAGAGGACTAAGGTAAAGAACCGGATGGAGGCAGGGTTGAAAGTCAAGGTATGTTCAGGTAAATGTTCCACCTCGCCTGTCCACTGAGCAGAAGGTCTCTCTGGGAAACTGTCTAAGGTTTGTCTTGGAAACAATGTGTGGCTTCCTCTTTGCCTGGGTGCCTTCTTATTTGTGCTCCCTCCCCCACCTCCCAGTGTAGGCCTCTGCCAAGGCCGATTCTGGTTCTTGGGGTCCATCCAGTACCAGCAGTGGTGGTCAGCCCTCCAGCACCACAGAATCTGTTTTCCATCCCTGAATGTGTTTCAAATGCATGTGTCTCCTTGTTTTTCCAGGTCATTTTGTAAAGGTCTCAAGAACAAGGAGAGCAACTTAAGCTCCCAAGCTTCAAGACAGTGACCTGCTTGGCACACCGTCCATCTCAGGTCCTCTCCACCAAAGGTACCCGGCAGCCTTCATTACATCCCATCCCGCTCATGGTCCCTTGGTCTGGGATGGTTGGAAGACCAGTTCCTGTTTAAATGTACCACTTTTCTCAGGCTTCTTGGCTTGTCTGTCATCATCTGTTTAGGGGGAAAGCACATGTACTGAGACTGATGGGAGATGGTACCTTTCTTTCTGTCCCCATAGGTGAGGACCAGCCATGATGACACTCCTTGGGTTTCTCTGAAGGGCTGGTCTTTGTGGGCTTTTTCACTTTCCCCTCATTACCCCCAGAAACAACCAAAGGAGACCACAGCATTAAAGCCAGTGATTTCTGTTTGGAAATAGGGTCGTCTTCTGCTGCTGACCCCCATCAAATCCCATCATGCCCACAGCCCTGTGCCCCAGAGTCTTGGCTCCAAAAGAGAGTGAGGAGCCCAGGAAAATGAAGAGTCCTCCTGGAGAAAACCCAGGCCCCCAGGGAGAGCTTCCCAGCCCTGAGTCCTCCAGGCGTCTCTTCCGCCGCTTCCGCTACCAGGAGGCTGCAGGCCCGCGGGAAGCCCTGCACCGCCTCTGGGACCTATGCCGGGGCTGGCTACGGCTGGAGAGGCACACCAAAGAGCAGATCCTGGAGCTGCTGGTGCTGGAGCAGTTCCTGGCCATCCTGCCTCGGGAGATCCAGAGCTGGGTGCGGGCACAGGAACCTGAGAGTGGTGAGCAGGCGGTGGCTGCTGTGGAGGCGCTGGAACGCGAGCCGGGGAGACCCTGGCAGTGGGTGAGCAGGGGCACAGGGGAGGGAAAGCTCAGCCCTGTGCTCAAGCTTTTGCTGGGGTCCTGTACCCCCCTGACCAGGGCTGAAGAGTTCTGTCTAAAGTCATGTACTTTGGTTGGCCCAGAATACAGTTTGGTTTCCTAGGAAAGTAAGTTTTGCTCTCTAAAGTTCCTAATGTCCTGTGTAGTCCTGTCAAAACCCAGGGTAATCCTTTGCTGGTTAGCTGTGGGGTCTCAGTCAGCAGCACAGGGGGCAGGGTCTTCCCCAACTTCTGCATAGCCCACAAGTCTGACCCAGGCCAGGGACCTCTCCACCTGGCTCTGAAAAGTTCCCTCTGGAATTGCAGCTCAAGCACTGTGAAGACCCTGTGGTGATTGACGATGGAGATGGCCCTCCGGACCAGGAGCAAGAACGGCGGCCAGTAGAACCCCAGAGTGACCTCACTAAAAGTCATGATAGCCAGCCCATGGCCCCAACTCAGGGCCTGGGGATCCTCAGCAGAATACCAAACCAGCTCAGCGAGGACCCAGGTATGCAGCCCATGGGGCACGGAAGGGATGAGCTGGGGTACGCAACCCTGTCCTGTATGCTTGGGTTTTTGTTAAGGTGATGGTTTTTTATGACAGCTGCTTTCTTCTGTCCCTGAGGAGCTGCGAACTATTAATAAGGTCTGTGTCCTTCCGTAGAACAACTGAATCAATCTCGTAAGGGTGTCTTCTAGGCCCTCTCAGAGGGACCTTTTCTGTGGGTAGCTATCCTCCAGGTTGAGCTGTCTCATCTATTTGAACCTGTGCCTATCTGTGGGTTTTGTCATTTCAGACTACCAGGAACTGCCTGTGGCCTGAACTCAGCATGGCCATGGCACCTTTTATGTTGGTATTGGATTGAACCAGGAGTCCTCTACATGAGCTGCATCCCCAGCACTTTTTATTTTTTATTTTGAGACAGGGTCTTGACAAAATGCTGAGGTTGGCCTTGAACTTGTGATTCCCCTGCCTGTCTCCTGAGATGCTGGGATTTCAGGACTATATCATAGTGCCCGCCTGACCATGTCTTCTTGGTTCTCATAACCACTATTTCCTTGACAAAGTAGCTCCTGTTCCACAACCCCTTTGTGCTGCCAAAGCCCAGGGGTGCTAAGGTTTCTTATACAGATCAGCATTTTATATATATATATATATATATATATATATATATATTTTTTTTTTTTAACTTATTTATTTCTTTTAATTAGATATATATGATAGCAGAATGCACTCTGATTCATTGTACACAATTGCAGGACAACTTTTCATTTCTCTGGTTGTACCTGATATAGCGTCGCACCATGTGTGCAGTCATACATGTACCTGGGGTAATGATGTCCATCTCATTCCAACATCTTTCATGCCCCCATGCTCCCTCTTCTCTTCTCCCTCCCCTTTGCCCAATCATAGTTCTTCCATTTTTCCCATCCCCCCTCCCATTATGGATCAGCATCCATTTATCAGACAGAGCATTCAGCCTTTGGTTTTTTGAGATTGGCTTACTTCGCTTATTATGATATTCTCCAATTCCTTCCATTTTCCTGCAAATGCCATACTTTTGTTTCCTTTTAATGCTGAGTAATATTCCATTGTGTATATGCATGACAGTTTCTTTATCCATTCACCTATTGAAGAGCATTCTAGATTGGTTCCACAGTTTAGCTATTGTGAATTGAGTTGTTATAAACAACATTGATGTGGCTGCATCACTACAGTATGCTAATTTTAAGTCCTTTGGGTATAAACCAAGGAGTGGAATAGCTGGGTCAAATGGTGGTTCCATTTAAAGTTTTGTAAGGAATCTCCATACTGCTTTCCAGATTGGTTGCACCATTTTTATTTTTTTTTTTTTTATTTTTTAATTTTTTTGTATCAGGGATTGAACCCATGGGTGCTTAATCACTGAGCCTCATCCTCAGCCCCATTTATTTATTTATTTATGTTTATTTTTTAAAATTTAAAAAATATTTTTAGTTGTAGATATATACAATGCCTTTATTTTGTTTATTTATTTTTATGTGGTGCTGAGGATTAAACCCAGTGCCACACATGCCAGGCAAGCGCTCTACCACTAAGCCACAACCCCAGCCCTCCCTTTATTTTTTATTTTGAAACAAGATCTTGCTAAATTGCTGAGAACCTTGCTAGATTGCTAAGACTAGGTTTGAACTTTCCGTCCTCTGCCTCAGCCCCTAAGTCTCTGAGATTATAGGCGTGCTCCTCCATGCTTGGCAAGAACAGCAGATTTGCATGTGTCTTAGCCATGTCCTCCTGTACTTTAAATCTTCTCTGGGTTGTTTATAACGTCTCTAATGCAATGCAAAGGCTATATGGATTATCGTGACACTGCATGGTCTAGAGAATAATGGCAGAAAACACACTGACCTGTTCAATAAGATGTGCTTTTGTTGTGCCCGTCCACCCCCCACCACCGTACATTCAGTCCTCATCTGGTTGTGGGGCTGATGACCACGGGAGGTGTGGCAGCTTTGAGTTGAAGGATGGCTGGTGTATGGGTTTGTCTGGGTGGACTTGCCACGTTGCTCTGTGATCATAGTGGAAAACCAGGTGTGCATTCGTGTGATGTGTGCAAGTGGCTTTATAATAAGTGGCATTTTAATAAGCTTTTCCAATAAAAACAACCAACATGTCTATTAAATTTCCCACTAAGCTACACCTCCAGCTCCTGATTTCTGTTTTTAAATTGACAGGAACTGCACATATTAAACTCATGGGGTATAAGGTGACACCTTGATACATTGTAAAATAATTAAGCTAATCAATATTTGCATTGCCTCATGTACTTACCTCTTTTCCTTGGTCCAAACACTTAGTAACTTCTCTCGTGGCAGCTTTCAGATGTGTGATACATTGTACTAACTGTACACCAGTCTCCTGGAGTTCCTCTGGCTAACTGAAGCCTGTACCCTTTGACCCCTGCAGCCCCACCCCTCCTGCAGCCTCTGGTGACCCTTTTATATCCTCTGCTTCTGTGAGTGGGACTGCTTGGGTGACTTTAAGCAAGGTCCTGCAGCTCTGTCCAGTGCCTGGCTTATTTCAGTTGGTGTGATGTCCTCCAGTTCATCTATGACACAGCTACAGGAGTTGCTTACATTAAGGGTGAACAGAATCCCACTGTGTGGGAAGCACATTTTCTATGTCCGTCATGTTAGTGGGTGCTGACCGGGCTGGCGAACCCTGTTATTCGTCACTCCCCCCCCCCCCCCCCCCCCCCCGGCCCTTTCGCTGCAGCCAGCCGGACTGCGGCACTGCTGCAGTCCACTTGAGAGCCTTCTCTCTTGGTGGCGCCTGCTCCGTTCCCCTGGGCGTGCACAAGAGGGATTGCTGCATGGTTCAGTGGTCATTTTAAATTTTTGAGGACCCTTGCACTGCCTGCCCCGTGGCCGCTCTGCAGTTCTTCTTCCCCATGCTCACCAGCCCTCAGCTAGCTGGTCTTTCTCAAGGAGTGTGGCAGTTTACAGACTTATAAATACAGTAGTTAATGTGACACCAGGGCTGTGCGGCAGTCCTCCTTGCCGGCAGCCCTCGTGTGTGTGTGTGCATGCGCGTATGCGCGCCATAGAGTTCAAGTGATCCCTCGCCTCAGCCTCCGCAGAGCCTGTGATGGTATCAGTCCTCTCTGATGCCGTCACTCCAAGAAGCTTTAACCTTTGCTTCCCATATCTTAGACGCAGAACTGAGGTCCCTGGAGCTCCAGAGGTCGGACAGCTAATCGTTGGTGGTGCTGAGTTCCAGAAAGCAAAGTCAGTGTGGTTGGAAAGGGCCTCTCACGCTCATCATCTTGGGACCCTCGTTTTGTAGGCGAGAGCAAGACTGGGGTTTAGAAAAGCACCTGTTGGCGTTTCTCTTAGGATTTTCTTTGCTTACCGCAACTGAAGCAGAGGAGTCCCAGGGAGCTCCAGAGGTGGCAGTGCCTGACCTGGCCACCTTCAGGACACCCTGCCCCTGTCTCTTTCAGTTCCGCAAGACACCTCCCTTCTTCAGGAGGAGAGCATGGGGGATGCAGAGCAGATGACCACCCTCCAGCTGCCCCCGGTAAGTGATTTCTGCAGGAGTCCTTGAGAATCCTTTGTCGCTCTGTCTAAGCCACACTCCAGGGCAGCTTCCCAGGGCCCTAGCCAGCTCGCTGCCTGCCACACAGGACATTTAGCCTGAGCTCAGGAAAACCAGAGTGGGCAGGGTTGGGCTTAGAGTGCCCCACTCCTCCCCTGCCCCTGTGGTCCTGAGTGCCATGCTGACTGCCAGGCCACCTGTAGGAAGCACTGGGTAGATGCTATGGAAAGAGGTCTTAGCCCAAGGTCACTGGGCTCCCTGCAGCCAGGTGGTCACAGCTGGGAGGGTGTGATGGAGCACCACTGCTGCACTCATGACGGCCAGGAGGCAGAGAGGGAAGGGGCTGGGGACACGGTCCACCCTTCAAGGCCATACTGGTGACTCACCTGTTCCCACTGCGCCCCACCTGCCAAGGTATCCACTACCTCCCAATAGCACCACCAGCTGGGGACCTGCCTTCAGCACAGGAGCAGTGGGGACAGTCTAGGAGCAAACTAAGACACATGCAAGGTACTGAACACTCACCTCACCCAGGAGCCTCCTGTTGCCCCAGGGCCACCTGCTCTGCCCACCCCCATTCCCACCAGGGTCCTGGTTCGGGAAGATACTTAGTCTCAGGAGTGTTATGGAAATGGATTCCTATGGTGTGTGACCTTCACTGTGTTCCTGCCCTTGCTGAGTGGTCATCTTCATGCGTGGAAGCCCCAGGGTTCCTTTAGCGTCCACCTGTCCAGGAGCCTCTGGTGTGAAGCCACAATGCACAGTTGTGCACGGCCTGCGTGTGGACTTTGGTGTTTGGCAGTTATTGGGCGTGGTAGTGCACACTGGGTTTTATGAGAAGCCACCACATTCTTCCCAGAGGGCTGCCTGCCCACTTCTGTGTCCAGGTAGCCTGGTCCTCTATGCCCTGCCAGCACTTGGTGCTGTCCCTGTTGCTGTCTGAGCCATTCTGAGAGGAAAGGATGGACGTTCAGGATGCTAGCTGGCTGTACTGGCGCCACCTGTGTCTGACTTTGCTTATCTCAAGTTACACCCTTTAGTTTCCTATTTTTGAGTTCTCAAAGCTCTTTACATATTCCAGTACTCATCCTCCGTTGGATGTGCATTTTGTGAATGCTCTCTCCACTCTGTGGCTGTTCTTGCATCCCCTTACTGAGGTCAGGGTCTTTAGCAGAGCAAGGTGTGTGTTGTTGTTTAGCAGTCTTGAGGCCTGAATACCCAGGGTGCTCTGCCACTGAGCCATGTCCCTAGCCCTTTTCTATTATTATTATTTTTTTTTAAGAGAGAGTGAGAGAGATAGAGGTAGAGAGAGAGAGAATTTTTTAATATTTATTTTTTAGTATTTGGGGGACACAACATCTTTGTTTGTATGTGGTGCTGAGGATCGAACCCAGGCCGCACGCATGCCAGGCGAGCGCGCTACCGCTTGAGCCACATCCCAGCCCCTTCTATTATTTTTTAATTTGTTCTTTTTCATTACACATGACTGGAGAGTGTATTTTGACATACCATATGTACATGGAGTATAACTTCCCATTCTTGTGGTTGTACCTGATGTGGAGTTACACTGTCGTGCATTATTATGTGAACATGGGAAAGTGATGTCTGGTTCATTCTACTATCTTTCCCATTCTCATCTCCCCTCTCTTCCCCCATTTTAATTTTTATTAATTTAGAGATGGGGCCTCACTTAGCAGCTTAGGGCCTTGCTAAGTAGCCCAGGCTGACCTCCAACTTGCCATCCTCCTGCCTCAGCCTCCTGAGTCACTGAGATTGCAGGTGTGCACTACCCCGTCTGGCTGGGGATGCAGCACTGTTTTAACTGTCCCACAAACTGCATTTTGGAGTTCCCATTTCCTTCATTCCTCTCACTTCCCTATGCCTTCCTGTAACTCAAGGACTCTGGGATGTGTTGTTTAATCCCAAGGACGTGGTGACTCTCCTGATATCTTTCTGCTGTGGATTCTGCTAATTAGAACACACTTGCTGGATGCTTTCACTTCTTTTCAAACTTTTGAGATCCCTACTCCCTCTCTCCAAGAGTTCGGTTCCTTGGCATATGTTCTGGGGCGTTTGGAAGAATGTTCTGGGGCGTTTGGAAGAATGTTCTGGTCGTGGTGGGTGACGTGCTCTGTCAGTGTGGGCAGACCGTTGCTGGATGCCCTGCCTTTTGTAACCTGGCTACTGGGGACCCAACTGGGGCTCTTTACCACTGAACCGCATCCCCAGCCCTTTATATTTTTATTTTTGAGACAGGGTCTTGTGAAGTTCCCGAGGCCAGCCTCAAACTCGTGGTCCTCCTGCCTCAGTCCCCTGAGCCACTGGAGTTAAGGTGTGCACCGCACCTGTCTGGCCCCTCACTCTTGACAGAGGAGTGGGGTTCCAGGTGTGCAGGCTGGGGCCCGGTGGCCTCTCAGTCAGACTCTCCTCGAGTGTCATATCAGCTCTTGTTGGCACATGGACACCGTGCTTTCTGGGACTGGCCCAGTTATTACAATATGACGTCCCTCTCTCCCTGGTAATCTTTTTTTAGTCTGAAGCCTACCCTATCTGGTGTTTATGTAGCTTTTCTTCTTTTAATAAATGATCCCACAATGTAATTTTTCTATCCTTTTCCCATGAATCTGCTGTTTCTTGCTCTATCCTTGTATTTAAAGTGTTTTTTTTTTTCTTTTTTTTGACAGCATGCTGTGGAATCATGTTTTTTTTTTTAATCCACTCTGACAGCTGCTCTCTTTTGGGGGGCCTTTTCGTTTTATTTCTTTGGCTTCTTTTGGTTTGTGCTGCTGGGGATCCAACTCCGGACCTCATGCACCTAAGCAAGCGCTCCAGGGGCAGAGCCTACCCCAGCCCGCTTGCTGTGTCTTCATTCGCGTGTTGAGACTTTGTTACATTATTATTTCCAGACTTGTTTTTGTTCTGCTCTCCTCTCCTGCCTTCCTGTGGGCTGTTGGGCCCTCTCGTGGACCTCTTCCGACGTCTTGGCGTGCGGTCCAGTGTGTCTGCAGCTCCCCCGCAGCATGCTGCAGCCTGCTGGGTCCTTGTTCATAAGCTTGACAGAAGCATGAGGCTTCCCTCCCTTCGCGTCCTCTACCGCCCCTCTGCCAGCAGGGCTGTCCGAAATGTGCCCTCTGTGCCTGCCTCCATACAGCACATGTTCTCCACAGACAGGAGGAAGAAACCTGTGGTGTCTGCTCACGGTTTCGTGGACACTCTTCCTTTCTGTGTCCCATGGTCCACTCTTACATTGTTTCCTTAATGGTTTCTTTAGGGCAGGTCTGCAGGTGACCAGCTTTTCTGCTTCTTCATCTGGGAATGTCCTAATTTCCCCTTCATGCCTGAAGGACATTTTCACCAGATGCAGGATTCATAGTTGAACCAGGCGAGACCTGTAACCCCAGCAATTCGCAGGGCCGAGGCAGGAAGATGGCCAAGTTCAAGGTCAGCCTCAGCAACTTAGTGAAGCCCTATTTCAAATAAAAAGTAAAAAGGGCTGAGGATGTGGCTCAGTGGTAGTGCGCCCCTGTGTTTAGATCCCAGCACTATGGGTATGCACTTGGGTGTCTTGCTGTGTCTTGATTCGCGTATCGACTCTCTCGCGCGTGCGCGCATGCACACACACGCACACAAGATTCGTCATTGGCAGCTTCTTAGCACTGGGAAGCTCTGCCACCTCCCTCTGGCCTACGTGGCCTCTGATGAGAAGGTGGCTTCTATTGAGGGGCTCTGCCTTGGGCAGGGCCCCCCTGCTCTGTGGTCACTCGGAAGCCTCGTGTCTTCTTGTCCTGGGTCTTGGTGTGCATCTCTTCAGGTCGGCCGGTTAGGGTTTGCTCAGCTTTTTGGCATCTGTAGGTTTATGGCTCTGTCCCAAGTCCTCTGAAAGCCTCGTGTGGCAACCTCCTCCAGGTGCTTTCCAGTCCCACCATCTCCTGACCGAAGGCGTCTCAGCTCCCGGTGTCTGCCTGTCTGTCCTCAGGTTGGCTGCTGTGCTCCCCAGCAGTCCTGCAGGGGGCCTCCGCCTCAATTCCCTCTGGGAGGTGCCATTTTGCCTCCATTCTACACATATCCCAGCTCCAATGTCTGCAGATACTCCGGCACCTCTGTCATCTCGGGGTGGCTCCTGTCCGTTCTTTTCTCATTGAGAGCTTGGTTCTTGAAGTGGAGAGGGACTTTCTGTTGACACCTCTACACATGTCTCAGGAGACTCTGGGTCCCATTCACACCTTCAGTAAGCCATCTGGTTTGTTTTTGTGACATCATGGAAGGGAGGGTGCCCCATGTGCTAATGCCATTGAGGGACAGTTGGCTCTTGTTGGGCTCTGCAGTGCTAAAGTGGCAGTGCAGCTTGATGCTAGACTGGGCTAGGGACTGTTACCAACCTGCAGGGATGGACGTCCCATTCCCTGCTGGGCCTCAGGGCCACCAGGCAGGGCCCTGATGGAGTGTGTATCTGACTCTTTCTGCTGTGTGGGTGCAGGTGAGGGGAGGCCACTGTGTTATTCTGGGTTGTGTAGCTGGAATGTTCTGATTATTGTCTGCCCGATAGGCTGCCCCTCCTGGCCCTATGGCTGAGAAAGTGGGCTTTCTCCGAGCTTTTAAAAATAATTTATGTTGTCTGTGCTCAGTGCTGTTTCTTTTCTTCTTTTTCTTTTCTTTTCCTTTCTTTCTCAGCGCTTTTTATTTTTTGTTTTTTATTTAGAGACAGGGTCTGGCTAAGTGGCTTAGGCTGGGTTTGCACTTGCAATTCTGCTGCCTCAGACTCCCAAGTTACTGGGATTGCAAATGTGCGCCTCCATGCCCTTTGGTTGACTTATTGTATGTGAACCAATGAAACCAGGGTTTGAGCTGGAGCTGGGTTCACCACTTCTGCTCGAGGGTGCTCTGTACGAGCTGCAGGCCTCTGCAGCAAGAAGGCCCATTTTAAATGTTGTTAGCAGCTAATCACAGCAGGGGAGGCCTGCTGGCATCAGCTCAAAGCCAGTTCCTTCTCCATGGCCACTCTGTTTCAGCTCTCAGTGTTGTGTGAAGAATAGAGACAGAACTCCCGCAGGGTGAGAGGGGACCTAGTAGCTGCTTGCCACCTGGTGTTTTAGTCTGGGGTTTATATAGCACTTGGGTCAGTGCTGTTGGTCCAAACTCATGCTGATCCTGGTTTGGAAAAGCACCAACACTGTTGGTGAACTTTTGAGCCTGAACTGCCATCAGGGTGGCCCCACTTGTTTTCTTCTGTTGGTCAGGAAACCAGAGGTTGAAGTGGAGCTGGGGACTCTGGCTGTGGTGCTCTGTGGAGCAGGCCCCTGCCCTGGGACAGGCCATGTGCCAAGTGCAACAAGTTGGCATGCTCTGGCTCCCCGCCGTCCTGGCTTGCCACCTTTGGGTCCACACCGGTGTGGGGGTTCTGTGCAGCTACAGCCTATGCTCTATCCCACCCGGGCTGCCACTTCACTGCTCAGAGAGGGCTGCACCAATTTGTTTCTGGACTTTTTCTTCTTTTCTTCATCAGTCAGTTTTTTTAAAATATTTTTTTAGTTGTAGATGGACACAATACCTTTATTTGTTTTTATTTTTATGTGGTGCCAGGGATCGAACCCAGGGCCTCACGCATGCTAGGCAAGCACTCTACCACTGAGCCACAACCCTGGCCCCCATTAGTCTATTTTTGTTTCAAAATTACATTTCTGATTTTGGAGCTTTTATCAAAATTATTACCAATTACCATGTTAATTTTTTTCTTTTTTCTTTTTCTGGTGTTGGGAATTGAATAGGGGCCTCTCACACACTAAGCCTGGGCTTTACCACTGAGCTGCGTCCCAATCCCACACTAATCTCTTAAACACTTGCTGGCAGTTATTCTGTGTCACTAGTAGGACCAATTACTTATGTGACTGTGAAATGATTTAAATACATTTAAGTATTTTTTGAATTTTAAAATTAAAATAGTTTTATCCTTTCTGTTGCAGTAGTGAAATATAGCCACAAAACTATAAGCCAGTTTGGAAAAAAAGGGAGACAAAAGCAACCCATTAGAAAATAGAAGCTTAGCAGGAGGTGTGGTTGAGATGTGGAGCACCTGTGGAGCTCAGGATAGGTCCTGGGTCCACCGAAACTCCACAGGAAAAGAAGAGAAAAATAGAAATGTACACCAAGAAGGTAAACAGGCATCACAAAAAGATGAAACTGAAACACGATTGGCCAACAAACCTGGGATGGTGGCCCAGGTGGCAGCAGGCAGTGGCAGGTGGCAGTGTGCTCTCAGAACAGGGTGGGAGTGGACGAGGAGGGGAGACAGGCAGGACAGCTCGTGGAGCTGTTGTTCATAATGGAAAACACTGGAAAAACCCTAAGCATTATTGACAGAGCAAAGGTCGCAGCCATGGTAATTTCTGACAGTGGACACGTTCATTGAGTTCAGTGCACTAGACCCAGGCCCCCTGGCACAAGGGAACCTTAAATATCAAGGTGAAGGTAACGAGAGTTTGTCATTTAAAGATACACCAAAGTGCCAAGCTGTCCCCTCGAGGGGTGAGACGCTCTGGGATGCAGTGCTGTCCTTCCATCTGCAGGCATCTTCACTGTGCCCCAGCCACATCCCTGGGAGTGTCCCAGGTTTGCTGGGTCACACCTGCCCTCGTGCTACACACCACCTCACCCACACAGTTCCTCCCATGCATGTGCATGACCTGTGGAGCAGCTTCTTCTGATCGTTTCTAATTGGATGAGGCTTTACAAAACCAAGTGACCACACTAATAACTGAACATGAGGGAGACTGTCGGATCTCACTTGTGTTCTGACGGTTGACATTTGGACACAGTCTGTGTTCAGCAAGATTTCTCCAGCCCCTTCAGAAGCTCTGGTCTGGCAGTTTCTAGCGTGGACTACTTCACAGTGCCCTGGCCAACTCCTGGCAGCTGGATTTCCCTGGAAAAGTGATGCCATCTTATTCAGGACGCATCAGAGGGCCAGGGTGGGCTCAGTGGTGTGCACTGGCCTAGCACAAGTGAGGGCCTGGGTTCCTAGCCAGTGTTGGGTTTTTTGGGTGCTGTGAAGCAATGTCCAGGCGGTGCCGCTGTCCTGGCCATGTGTCTCTGGTCGTGAGGGGCTGTCCCGTGTGTGTCAGGATGAACCAGCATCCTTGGTTCTACCCATGCCAGGAGTTGCCCCCCTCTGTGACAAGAAGCAGCCTCCAGACACAATACACGTCCCCAAGGCGGAATCCTGGTGCTGAGTTGGTGGTCTAGTTGGACAGTGGCCTGTGTGTGTCCACTGTGTCACTCCCATTCCTAGGTTTAAATCATAAACAAGAGCCAGTATGAGGGGGAAAGGAGTCCAAGGGTCCAGAGGACATCCACTGGAAGCTGTCTCTCCAGCCCCCCATCTCGTCTGTCTCCTTCAGAAATTTAACCAGAGGCAAGGGCAGACTTTTGAAGCGTGATCTGCTGTTTCTTTTTGGTTTCTCCCTCATACGTGTTTTCTTCCACAAAATTCCTATTTTGAAATATTTTCCAATAAATTGTATGAAGCACTTTATTTTTATGGTTTGGGGAAATTTGTAGATTACAACAGTGAGGTGTCTTTTAGTCCAGTTAGGACCACAAGAGGGCAGAGACCGAGCACACCCAGTAAGTTCCTGACGGGCTCCTGCTTTTCCAGAGGTTTCTTGGGGTCAGTCCAGGCTTTTGTCAAGGTACAGCATGTAGAGATTAGAACAGTTGAAAGAAGGCAGAGAGGAATTGTTCTGCCAACGTGCTGTGCTGTCTTCTGAACAGGAACTCTTTGATAACCAACTAAAAAGATCACCAAACAGGCACCTCCTGCTTCCTCCTTCTTCCTCCTTAGAGATGCGCCCGAGGAGAGGGCTTCTGATATTTTCTTAATGGGTTTCTGCGTCATCAGAGGCACTGATGCATATACACAGTTACATAGGGAAGGCGTGTTAATCGCCATATGTAAGTGAGTGATTCAGTTACCTGAGGCCACTTTGGGTCAGGAGTCCCCAGTTCCTCAACAGGGACTGGCAGTGTCCTTGGCAATGCTGCCAAGGTGGTGGGAAGGGTTCTTACCCAGCACCATGGTAAAGGGCTATCCCTGAGGAGGAGAGCCCTCCTCCTTCCCTGGTGACCATGGAAGATTGCAGCCCAACAGTCCCTATCCAAAATGGGTTGTTTGGGTCCAGAGGAAAGTTTGAAGGAACTCACTAGTGTTGGGTGGGAGACTCAGTCAAAATCAGACAGAGGCAGGTGTGAGTAGGTTCCCGGGGCTGGCCATTCCTGAGCCACCCTTCAGTGAATCCATGGCCCACGGTGCTGCTTGCTCCTCTGCAGACAGGAACAAGCTGAGACCACAGTCCCAGGCTGCCTTTCATGTCTTTGTGGTCAGTCCCCTTGACTTGGTCTGCACAGGGGACAGTTGAAGAAGTACCTGTCTGCATATTGTTCTCTGCAGTGCTGGGGATGGAACCCAGGGCTTTTCACATGCTAAGCAGATACTGTGCCACTGAGCATCCCAGCCTAGGTAGGGCACCTGGAGGGGCCTTTCCAGGGGCTGCGGATGGAACCCAGGGCCTTGTGCATGGAGGCAAGCACTCTACCAACTGAGCTATCCCAGCCCATATCGGGAATTCTTAAGGGAGATGTCTCCTCCGGTACCAGTCCCCAGGCTGGATCCCAAGGTGGAAGTTGGCTCTCCTTACTGCTACTGCAGAGAGTGGGTTTTATTACAGTGAGTTCTGTGTAACAACCTTAGGAAGCTTAGAGGACATGTAAGAACTGCCCCTTCAGCAGCTGGAGTCAGTTGGACCACAGGGGAAAGATGTAGGCCTTCCTGTCATGACTCCAAAAGGGGAAGCCTGGCCTTCTCAAAAGAGGAGGGTTCTGAGGTCAAGAGCACTGTAGGCGAGGCCTTTGCCTGAGGAATTCCAAGATCCTGTCGGTTTAGCCGAGTTGGAGTGGCTCTGTTCGGAGGAGGTCTGCACGGTGGGAACACAAACAGCACACACCTGAGGGGCCCCGGGAAGCTCCCCACCCTCCAGCCCGCGCATCCCGTGCCCCACAATGAAGGCCTTGCTGAGGCCTTGGTGTCCGGCCCCAGACCTGTGAGACCTCACTTCCACTGCTTGTGGTGTCGCGTCCCAGCAGCCTGACGGACTAGGGCACCAGCCGCCCCCTGAGCCACCCCTGCTCTCCTGTGGTTTCAGAACCGGGTTTCTCCATTCAAGGACATGATTTTATGCTTCTCGGAAGAGGACTGGTCCCTTCTCGACCCCGCCCAGACGGGCTTCTACGGAGAGTTCATCATTGGGGAGGACTACGGGGTCTCCATGCCTGCGAGTAAGGCTTAACCCCTCCCCACCGAGGCCACGCAACCTGAGGTCTCTCTCCCTAAGGCCAGCCTCCTCCCGGAGGATCAGGCGGCAGGTCTGCATCAGAGCACCCTGTTCACCCTCCAGCCTCAGGGGCCACCTGTGCGGGGACTCCACAGACTGTTGTCTGGTTGACTGCTCTGCTGTCTTGCCCCTGCTGCTTAGGCTCGCCTGGCTTTCCCTCCCACAGAGCCCCACAGGACGTGATCTCAGTGTTCGGCTCTCCGGCCATTCTCAACCCTGTCGTCTCCTCCGACCTCCTGTGCGCCTCAGAGCCATGCCCTAGCCCCAGGCCCGCCTTGGCTGCATGCCCCCTGCTGCCCTGCTTGCTCTGGCCTTTGCACGTGTGCACCCTGCACATCCCTGACTGCTCTCCCAACGGCCTCCCTCCACCTCCTCCCTCTGGGCCTGAAGGAGAGTCCCCTGCGCAGCCTGCCCTGGTTGTCTGCAGGAGCAGATGGCTGATGCAGGCCTATCCTGCCCTCTTTTGAGCAGACGACCCAGCAGCCCAGCCAGATCTGCTCCAGGGAGAGGAGAACGGGCCCCGGGTTCCAGAGCTGCAGGACCTCCAGGGGAAAGAGGAGCCACAGGTCTCCTACTTAGGTGAGTGACCATTCCAGAAGTAGGTGGAAGGCCAGAGCTGGGCCTTTCCCAGCTTCTTCCCAGCTCTGATCGGCTGCAGCCCAAGCCCTGCCCAGCCTGTAAGTATCTCCTGGTTTTGCTGATAATCTCAGGCCCTTATGGAGGGTCAGGTGTCCATAGCAGGCCAGGTTGGCGGGGAGTTCTCTGGATAGGGCCTTCTGGACACTTGCCTGTCCCATCCTGCTACCGCCCTCTTCCTGCAGGGGTGTGAGGGCACCCATGGGGAGGGAGAGGCTGGAGTTCTGCACATGCTGGGTTTGCCTCCTCTGCCCCCACACTGTGAAGCCAGACTTGCACAGAATCCACAGCGTCCCCTGGCCTCTTTCCCTCTTGGGACCTAGCACTGGCACTGAGCCAGTGTGGATGTGTGCACCAGGAACAGGTACGCCCCACCCAACCCCGGCATGGTGGTGGGGTCTGCAGGTCTGCGGCAAACCCAGCACAGGACATGGAAGTGACCTAAGTCACTTGTCTCTGACCACAGAAATGAGCAAGCAGGACCAGGATCCACACTGGTTCCGTCCAGCTTCAGAACCGGGTTGTGGTGTCACCCCTTGCCTTGTAAGGTATAGGGGCTGGCCCAGGAGGGCCGTAGCCTATGTCTGCTCAGGTGCCTCCTCCAGGGGGTACAGTGCCTGGTGAATCTCCTTTTCCTTTTCTTCTCTGGAAAGACTTTCCCAGCCTGCAGCCATTCCCTATGGAAGAAAGAAGGAAGTGGGAGGAGCTGCAGGTGCCCGAGCTCCAGACCTGCCAGCAGATGGTGCTCACCCAGAGCACCTGCCCAGGTGAGGAGGCACATGGGCACGTGCTACCGCACTGGTGTGTGCACATGTGGTGCACATGCATGTGAGGTGTGTTAGGAGATGTGTGCACACGTGGGACATACATGTGTGAGGTGTGTTTGAATGCAGCTGTGCACACGTGGGCATACATGTTAGGTGTGTTAGGAGATGTGTGTGCATACATGGGGCATATACGTGTGAGGTGCGTTAAAATGCGAGTGTGCACATGAGGGGCATATGCACGTGAGGTATGTTAGAATGCAGGTGTGCACATTTGGGGCATATGCATGTGAGATGTGTTAGAATGCATGTGTGCACACATGAGGCATATATGTGAGGTGTGTTCAGAGAAGTGTGTGTGCACGTGGGGCATATATGTGTGAGGTGTGTTAGGAGATGTTTGTGCACACATGGGGCATAAACGTGTGAGGTGTATTAGGAGATGTGTGTGCACAGTGGGGCATATGCATGTGAGGTGTGTTCGAAGGTGTGTACACACAGGTATATGCATGTGAGCTTTGTTAGAAGGTGTGTGTGCACACGTGGGGCATATGCGTGTGAGGTGTGTTAGAAGATGTGTGTGCACACATGGGTTATATGCATGTGAGGTGTGTTAGAAGGTGTGTGCACACGTGGGGCATATGTGTGTGAGCTTTGTTAGAAGATGTGTGTGCACACATGGGGCATATGCATGCAAGGTGTTAGAAGGTGTGTGCACGTGGGGCATATGCATGTGAAGTGTGTTAGAAGATGTGTGCACACATGGGGCATATATGCATATGAGGTGTGTTAGAAGATGTGTGTGTACACATGAGGCATATGCATGCGAGGTGTTAGAAGGTGTGTGCACATGTGGGGCATATGCGTGGGAGGTGTGCTAGAAGGTGTGTGTGCACGTGGGGCATATGCATGTGAGGTGTTAGAAGGTGTGTGCACACGTGAGGCATATGCGTGTGAGGTGTGTTCAGAGATGTGTGTGCACGCGTGAAGCATATATGTGAGGTGTGTTAGAAGGTGTATGTGCACACATGGGGCATATGCATATGAGGTGTTAGGTATGTGCACACGTGGGGCATTTGCGTGTGAGGTTTGTTAGAAGATGTGTGTGCACACGTGGGTCATATGCGTGTGGTGTGTGTGCATGCGTGCGTTGGCAGGGCTGTGGAACTGAACTCTCGCAGTCTCATTCTGTCAGCCTCTGGCCCTAGTTCCGTTTGCTCAGGTCTCTCCCACTGACCACTGACCCTAGGCCTTCCTACGGCCTTCCCTGGGCGGTTGAGGCAGGTTGCCAGTGGAGCACTGCTGGTGGGTGTGGAATGGTCTTCCTCCCTGAGTGTGGGACAGTTCCATCATCAAGGGGCAGGTGTGTGAATGGTGTGATTAGCACTCATCTCTGTGCAGGGCATGTGACCATTGTGCTGGGTTCACTGTCACATGCACAAAGGGGATTTTACAGCAGGTGGGACTGGAAGGATGAGCCCTCCCCATGAGAGTGGTTTCTCCTTGTTTCCTGAGGGGCCTGCCTCTGCATGGGGGAGTGCTTCCCAGGGCGGTGTGTGCCCGATCTTGACCCCTCCTGCTTCACCTGACCACAGTCTATCTTGTCCTTGGGGTACTGGTGGGAGGTGGACAGGCTTCCTTGACCCTTCCTGGCTTCTGCTGGCCACAGCCCTTCTCGTGGTCCTTGGGGTGTTGATGGGAGGTAGACAGGCTTCCTTGACCCTTCCTGGCTTCCCCTGGCCATAGCCCATCTCGTGGTCCTTGGGGTGCTGGTGGGAGGTGGACGGGCTTCCTTGACCCCTCCTGGCTTCCTCTGGCCACAGCCCATCTTGTGGTCCTTGGGGTGCTGGTGGGAGGTGGATGGGCTTCCTCTGACCACGCCCATCTTGTGGAACTTGGATGCTGGTGGGAGGTGGACAGGCTTCCTTGACCCCTCCCAGCTTCCTCTGACCACAGCCCTTCTCATTGCCCTTGGGTGCTTGTGGGAGGTGGACGGGCTTCCTTGACCCTTCCTGGCTTCCCCTGGCCATAGCCCATCTCGTGGTCCTTGGGGTGCTGGTGGGAGGTGGATGGGCTTCCTTGACCCCTCCTGGCTTCCCCTGGCCACAGCCCTTCTCGTGATCCTTGGGTGCTGGTGGGAGGTGGACCGGCTTCCTCTGACCACAACCCATATCATGGTCCTTGAGTGCTGGTGGGAGGTGGACGGGCTTCCTTGACCCCTCCTGGCTTCCCCTGGCCACAGCCCATCTCATGGTTCTTGGGGTGCTGATGGGAGGTGGACGGGCTTCCTTAACCCCTCCCAGCTTCCTCTGACCACAGCCCTTCCCGTGGTCCTTGGGTGCTGGTGGGAGGTGGACGGGCGTCTTTGAACAGGAGTCCGTGCTGCTCTCCCTGAGGATGCTCTGATGCAGAACCTGCTCTCCTGTGGTGACACTAGGTGTGGCTTTCTTGGAGAAGGAGAGGAAAGTTTCAGAGCAGGTCCTGTTTTCATTTGGGTGGATCCTGCCAACTCTCCTTCCAGCATGACTTTTCCTGCCACCCCACACCCCTGACACTGGTGAGGTCTGCCCCTCTGGTCTGGGACCATACGGGATTCTCTACTACTCACTGTGCCACTGAATGGTCACCTTCCTGTCACCAAAGCAGAATATCTTATTTTTGTACAGTACTGGAGGTTAACCCAGGGGTGCTCTACCTCTGAGCTATATCCTCAGCCCTTTTTATTTTTTATTTTTGGACAAGGGTCTCCCTAAGTTACTAAGGCTGACCTGGAACTTATGACTCTCAGCCCCCAGAGTCGCCGGGATCATAGACATGTGCCAGGTGCCCAGCACGCTCTCTTCTCTTTTGCATTTCCTGTGAGTTGCCTGCCTGGTACTCAGTGGTGTGTTGTGTTTTGCACTTTTCCACTCATTCATGTTTGTTTTGCTCTCTTGGTATGATTCCTGTGGCTAATGGCACAGCACCTTAGCCTGGGCAAGTGTTTTGTTTTGTTTTTTGGGGGGAGTGGTTTCCAGGGATTGAATTCAGGGCACTGGACCACTGAGTCACTTGCACACCAACCAGCACACACACATGCACATACATGCCCACACAGCCACACACACACACACATACCACCCAGTACACACACACCACCCAGAACACACACACCACATACATGCCCACGCAGCCCCCATACACACCACCCAGCACACACACATGCACACACATTACCCAGCACACACACCACATACATGCCCACATAGCCACACACACATACACCACCCAGTACACACATAGACACACACACTACCCTGTGCACACACACACACACACATGCCCACACAGCCACACATACAGCAGCCACCCAGCACATACACACACACCATATACATGCCCACACAGTCACACACATATACACACACCACCCAGCACACACAGCCACACACACACACCCCAGGACACACACAGCCACACACACAGCCACGCATACCACATACATGCCCACACAGCCACACACAAATGTACACACACCAAACAGCATACACATAGACACACACACACACCACCCTGTGCATGTGCACACACACACACACACCACCCCACCCAGCACACACACACATTCCACATACATGCCCATACAGCCACACACACACACACACCTAGCACACACATACACACACACTACCCCGCACACACAGACACACCCAGCAAACACAGAGCCACATACATGTATGTGTGTGCACCCACATACATACCCCTCTGGTGTCGTGCAAGCTCCCGTCACAGTCTCCTGTCACCTGCCTTCCCTGTTCGAGGGGCTTTCTGCCTTGCATTGGTGGGTCACTCTGAGGTCATTTCCACTGGTTTTAGGCAACGTCCTCCTATATGCATGATACTGATCTTCCAGGACTTCCTTAACCAAGTCTCACTGACTGCCTGATTTTCAAACTGATTTTCTCCAAATTCTGGAGTTGACTGTGGGCTGGGGCTTGGCTTGGTTTCCCACTCTTGGCCTCTCCCTGGCCTGTGGATGCCAGGCTGTCCATGTCTTCTCTTCTGTTTCAAGGGCACCAGTCACACTGGTCAGGCCACCAGAACACTTCCTTTTAGCTTAAGCACCTCCTGAGAGACTGTCTCCCAACACAGTCACATCTGAGCTAGCAGGGTCAAGGTTTTGACACAGGAGTGTGAGGGTGCACGGTCAGCCCCCGCCACCTGCCACAGCCCCTCCTAGCTGTGCCCCTCGTACATGCAGCATACAGCCACCCCAACCCAGGCACTGCGCAGCCAAGGTCCCAGCTACCTGGGCTGTGTCATGAGTCATGAGAGCCCAGGAGTTCTAAACCAGTTGGGCTAATTCTCAACACACAACATACATTTTCCCTGTGACAACACCAGTCTTAACCCACAGCATTGACCCCACCTCCGAAGTCTCGTCTGTACGCACACCTAAATCAGGCATGGAGGGGATGGTAAAATTCATCCTAAGGCAGAATCCCTTATCAGCTATGGAGCTGCAACCAGGCACGTGGTGTACCTCCAGAGCTTAGTGGAGGACAGGCACGGGATGCACATCATCCTCCCAGGAGGGGAAGGGAGAAAGGGTGATGGGTCCTAGGATCCAAGGGAGTCCAACCTAGCAAATTCCAGTAGATTTCTCTTTTTTATTTTAGACGGGGTCTCAACATGTTGCCCAGGCTGATCTTGAATCCTGGGCTCGAGAGACTCTCCTGCCTCAATCTTCTGAGTAGCTGGGACTACAGGCATGTGCCACCATGCCCAGACAAATTCCTGTGGATTTCCGGGCTGGATGACAGTCTCTGGTTTAGTACTTTGTCCTTCATGCCCTGGACTAAGGCCTGGTTCAGGAACTGGGGAGGCTGACCCAAGTCTGGCCCATGCCCTTGGGGCCCTTGGTGGCAGGACCTCCAATGTGGTTATGGTCCTCTTCCTTCTCCTTGTCAACAACACTCCGCAGAGCATGACAGTGTGCTGGCCTGGTGTGTGCAGCCCCTAGGCCTGACTGCTCCTTCCTCTCCATCACATAGTCCAAGCCGGCAGTGTTTGTGCTCCTGTGAAATTGTCAAAAACCTGTTGGCTTCCCGTGCAGTTCATGGGGTCCAGTCAGCAGAGAAGAGGAGCCGGAAGAGCTCCCTGAATGGCTGGGACCATTATATAGCCTTACCCTGGGACGGCACTGCCAGGCTCAGGTCTCACTTCAGCCCTCTCCTTTAGACAGGTCCCCTTAGTTGACATGTATAACAGGGCAAATGAAGTGTGCTGCAATGGTGTCCAAGAGCAAGCCAGGCTGTGGGGGGGGGGGGGGGGGGGGGGGAGTCTGCAGTTCCAGGAGCTCTCCAGTGCCCAGTATGTGGCAACTCCAGCTATGGCATAAAGGGTCCTGTGTCATGTCTGGGCAGAATGTCCTTGTGTCTGGTTACGGGACATGGTGTGTTGGCCAGGCTTGGCACAGATCAGTGCCCCTTCTCAGAACAGAGGTCTCTGTGGCTAGGGAAAAGTGGGTTGAAGGTGAGGGTTAGGGGAGCATGGCAGGGAAGAGGGAGAGAGGGAAAAGAGATGGGCAGAATGCTTCTTTTCCTTCTCAGGCTTCACAGTGGACCCAGGGTGAGGTCAAGGTCTGGGGTTTATGGACTCCCCTGAAACTTCCTGGGTAAGGCTCAGGGGGACTGGGGTGTAGCCTGGGTAGCGCCACTGACCCCACCTGGGTTTCCTGTAGCAGGAGGCGACCCACCCACTGGCCTGGACGAGGAGGTGACCATCGAGATTGTCCTGTCCAGCTCAGGGGAGGAGGACACACAGCACGGCCCGTACTGCACAGAGGAGGCACAGAGCTCCCGGGAGAAGCCGCGCAGCCTCCCCACCTCCCGCCACGACAGCAACGAGGTGGGGGGCGAGGTGCAGACCTCCAGGAAGTCCTATGTGTGCCCGAACTGCGGGAAGATCTTCCGCTGGAGGGTCAACTTCATCCGGCATCTGAGGAGCCGCAGAGAGCAAGAGAAGCCTCACGAGTGCTCGGTGTGCGGGGAGCTTTTCAGTGACAGCGAGGACCTGGATGGGCATCTGGAGGCCCACGAGGCCCAGAAGCCCTACCGCTGCGGCGCCTGTGGGAAGAGTTTCCGGCTTAACTCACACCTCCTCTCGCACCGGCGGATACATCTGCAGCCGGACACACTGCAGCACGCACAGAAGGAGCCGGGCGCGCCTGAGGCCCAGGGCGGGGACGCGCACGCCCTGCTGCAGAAGAGCAAGGCCAAGCTGGGCGAGCAGTGCCGGGACTGTGGGAAGCTGTTCCAGCGGCATGACCAGCTGGTGCGGCACCGCAGTGACATCCACCTGAAGCACGAGGGCCAGCCCTTCCAGTGCCGCTACTGCGTCAAGAGCTTCCGGCAGAACTGCGACCTCCTCCGCCATGAGCGGCTGCACATGAAGCGGCGCTCCAAGCAGGCCCTGAACTCCTACTGAGCCCGGGTGCTTCCCGCCCCCTTGGTACTAAGCCCTGCCCCGGCACCGCCCACAGAGACCCTCCTCCTGTCCCCTGCTCTCAGGTAGTGTCTACTTCTCCAGGTGCCTCGGTGGCCTCCTCCTCCCCAGATAACGAGCCCCTCTTCTGTTTCTGCTGTGCAACTCGCCCTTGGCGTCTGCCTTAGGCACCCTCACGGGGATGCTCTCCAGGTCCTCAGGAAGACTGGGCTGCCCCCACCTCGGTGACCCCTTGATGGCACATCCCTTCCTCTCCTGCCCTAGCACAGAGAGTGTTCAGGGTGGCTACACGTCCCATCCCATAGTGAAATGCTGGGTGGGTGGATGATGGGCCAGGAGGAAGGCCTAGTCAGGGCCCAACACAGATCGGTGCCATGTAATCCAAGTCAGCCCAGGTTCCTTAATATCTCAGGAGCCCCCAGAGACCCTGAGCTCTTCAGGAACCGTGTTGGGGCCTGGAGTCTTGGTGGGGCCCAGGTCCATCATGCTTTCCCTCTGCCCTGGAGGGGTTGGGGGTGGAGAGGGGGTCTCGGAGCAAAGCACATATTTTAAACCACGTTGCACACCCACCCCAACGTCTTGTCTTTGTACCCTGAAGGTCTTTGGTAAATGTTCTTGGGATGGAAACTGAGATGTCATCATTTAAAAGGCACTTATATTCCTCCCTCACCCTGGCTAAGAATATGGGGAGCTCAGTTCCCAAGGAGGGATTGTTCTGCCTGATTGAGCCCAACCCCAGGACAGCCTCACATGAAGTGGGTGGAGTTCTTCATGTGCATTCACTTCACTACCAGTGGTGTTGGTTTCCTAGGACTGCAGTAACAAAGTAGCAAAGCCCGGAGCTTCTAGCCAGGGGAGGTACTCCATCAGTGCAGGAGCTGCGATTGCAGGGTCCAGGCATCAGCAGGGTTGGTCCTTCCTGAGGACTGGAGCCAGGGTCTGCTAGCAGATGATTGTTCTTGGCTTGCAGGAGCAGCAGTCTATCACTGCCTTCTTTGTGTGGTGCTCCCCACGTGTGTCTGAGGACACCAGTCGTTGGGTTACCCATCCTATCTACCCCACTGTAACCTCATCTGCCTCTGCAGGGACCATTTCCAAATAATCACATTCTGAGATAATGGGGGAAAGACTCCGACATGGGGATTTTGCGGGGACACAGTTTATTCCCAAACTGCAGATAATCTTGTGGTGCTGCTGTCTTTCCCAATGCAGAGGAGCTTGTCCTTCTACCAGGCAGGCCAACCAGCTGTGCGCTCCCAGGTGGCTGTCCTTTGCAAGGAAGAGTCTTAAAGTTCAGTATCTGGGATTCTCAATTGTTGGTGACTGGCTGTTGGTAGTGCAACCTTGAACAATCCAAAGCTTGGTCTCACTGTTCTGTAAGACAGGTTGTGCGGGCGGGCGAGGTGGGGAAGAGCCTTGACTCGGTGCAGCTGCCGCCAGCCTCAGGGCCACACCAGGCTGGGTTTGTCAGAGCTCCTCTTGGGACTCAACTTGGGTGAGCCCCAAGCCGGGTGCTTCTGGTGCCTGGTGCCCCTTGCTGCTCACATCAAGACACTTCCACCCTAAACCCAATAAGGGTGATAATTTTACAACCAGATTTCTATTCCTGGGTAGATGCACCCATGTTAACCTGGAATAGTAAATGCAATAAAACATCTGGTCATACCTTAAATCAGAAATAAACTATTGAGGGTCCTAGTTTCTAAATAGTTTGTCTTTTGTATTGACCTGCCTCACATCTTTAAGGCCGAGGGTCAGGAGTATGCGGACGGAAGCAGGCTGTCTGTGTGCACGTTTCTCCCCATCTTGTGTTCCCGCAGGAGGTTTCATCAGGCCCCATTGCCTCAGGAAGGGCCTCCCCACCTTCAGACTGTCAAAAAGGGGAGCAATGCTCAGCTTACTGGTGTGCTCCAATACAGAATCAGATCACCAGTAAGGCTGTGGAACTGGGCCATAAGGAGGCTCTGCATCCTCACAGGTGTTGTCAGGGACCCCTATTGCTGATCCACAGCCCAGCAAGGCAGTTCAGTCACTGTAGGGTCACACTCTCTGAGGATTCAGAAACCCTCCTGGGTGAAGGAGCGCCAGTCCCAGTTTGAGTCCTGGCAGGAGACACAAGTGGAGCCACCTGCTCTGAGGATGTGTCCACCAGTCCTCCAAGCCAACAGGCCCTGCTCTGTGGGTAGGGGCAGGGGGACATGGGCCAGGTGCATCTTTGTCACTTTTTTGGCTCCTGGTACTTGTGGCCTCTGAGAGCAGCTAGTCCACTTGGTGCCTTCCATCCCTCCCCATCTCTTCATGGGGGCTAAGCCCACAGGTGAGCTCCTCCTCCACCTTGCCATAGTTGAGACCCCACATCTGAGACGCACATTCTTGCCATGTTCCTGCAGTCGCTTGGCGGCGTAACGGACTCAGATGCACGGGTGCATAATAAAGACTCGCTGACTTAGCATTTATGTTAGACTTTCATTACAGAATACATGTGCAGTGCAGCCAGAGCAGTGGGTGTCAGGTGTCCTGTTAGGCTTTCAGGCCTTAGCTGGTTATGGTCACTTGATCTGGCCCCTGGGGGTGAAGAGGTGGTTACCATCCTGGCTCCTACACATTGATACTCTGCCCTTTCCCAGTGTGCTTCCTGCCCAGCTGGGAAGAACAAGTGGGGGGAGGATCCCATTTCAGGCCTACGGCATCCTGCTACCCAGGCAGATGCCCGACTCTGGGATCCCACAGTTCAGGTCAGCTGTTCACCCCAAAACCAAATGAAAAGTCATGATGAAAAGCAGGAAAGGCACATTGACCAGTGCAGCTGCACCAGGAAGATGAGGAAACCCTGTCCTTAATCCTGTCTTCAGGGGCTGGCAAGGACACGCAGAGGAGGACGAGGGCTGGGGTTTTGCATGACTCCAAAGCAGGTGGTGTTGGTCAGGTGTGCTTTGTCCATTATCTCCGGATTGGTCAGTGGAGCCTTGTCCTAGAACTAAGAACTGGCTGGCCTTGGGAGGGGCAATCTCTCCCCAGTCTTAAAGATTTTTTAAGATGCCAAAATGTACAGAAAATTGGGGAGAAATAAACAATATACCTGCCCTGAAATGCTACTAGTCAGAGAAAGCACACCTAAGGCTAAGGGTAGCACTCTATGGTGGAGCAGGTCTTACATGCTGACGTCAGGTTTTCAGCACCACACCTAAAAAGTTGGGGGCATGCCTGTAATCCCATGAGTCAGGAGGCTGAGGCAGGAGAATGCAAGTTCAAGGCCAGCCTGGGCAACTTAGTGAGACCCTTGCCATTGTCTCACAATTTAACAAAAAAAAAAAAAGAAGAAGAAGAAGAAGAAGAAGACAAGAGATGTATGTAGTTCAGAGGTATAAGTCCCTAGGTTCAATTCCCAGTACCAAAAAAGAGGATGGTGCTGTGTTCAGGGAGAATGAGAGGAAAGCCACATCTAATAGTAACTAGGGCAAATCCTCCCCTCTGGAATCCAGCTGGAACCCTTTGCCATTGAGGAAGATGCAACCTGCCCACCAATAGAAGCATTTTTAAGTGTCCTCTCTGGTGTTTTTATGGGCCTCAGAAAAGCATCTAGAATGGATCACAGCAGCACTGAGCCTGAGCAGTGTAATCAACACCCACCTAGCCAGCTGCGGGTTATCGGCTTGGAGACTAGACACATGTTTCTTTTTGGCCACCAAGACTTGTACAGAATGGCTGAACTGATGTCAAGATGACAGTCTGTGTGTATATGATCTAAACTATCTGAAACCTTTTCCTTTTTTTTTTTTTTTTTTTTTTTTTTTTTTTTTTCAGGGTTTCATTAGTCTCGTGGAGGACCCTGCCTTTGACCAGTGGATCAGACCCCAGCTCTGGGTGTTCAGGTGTCTATCTAGTGTCAGGCCGGGGGCCGGCATGCCTCACCTCTGGGCCAGGTGCTTTCCACACACCTGTTCAGATGGGAGTCCACGATCTTGGAGGCAGAAGTGGTGGCTGGGGGAAACCCAGGGCCTCATGCACACTAGGCAAGTGCTCTACCACTGAATTATGTCTCCAGTTGCATGTTCTGAGATGTTTTCCATCAATTTTCTCTAACAATCTGTGCCCAGGAGCCAAAAGTCCAACCAGATATGCAATTTACAGAAGCAAAACCTGGTGATTCAGTAAAGACGACCCAGAGAGGAACAACAGAGTCCTAACAGCCTCAGGCTGGACTTCTGTCCCTGTGGAGATATTCATTTAGCTGCCATTAGTGACAGCAGAGGATGCTGGTCCTTCTTGGGAGGAAGTGTGAGGAAGGCGCAGTCTTGGGCATGGAGGGTCGGGAAGATGCAAACAGACAGATCCCATTCACTGCTGTGGACACTTTCTCTGCCACTGACCACCAAGCGCTTGGGCCGCACCATGTTTTGTTACATCTTCTAGCTCTAAATGTCTGCAACAAATTTCAATGTGTTGCAAAAATCCACATGCCACTACTTCTGTCTCCAAGAGAATGGACTCCTGTCTGAACAGGTGTGTGGAAAGCATCTGGCCCAGGGGTGAGGCACACAGGCCCCTGCTGCGACACCAGCCAGATGTCTGAACACCCAGAGCTAGGGTCTAGTCCACTGGTCAAAGGCAATGTCCCCCACAAGACTTCCCTATGAGCTGCATGTCTCAGGGGTCACCCACATCTCTGACCATCTGTTGGTCATCTTCCCATCACTGCAACAAATATCAGATAAATCTGCTGTTTAAAAATAAATAAATAAAAGGAGCTGGGCATGGTGGCACACGCCTGTAATCCCAGCGGCTCGGGAGGCTGAGGCAGGAGGACAGTGAGTTCAAAGCCAGCCTCAGCAATGGTGAGGTGCTAAGCAACACAGTGAGACCTTGTCTCTAAACAAAGTGCAGAATAGGGCTGGGGATGGATCAGTGGGTGAGTGCCCCAAGTTTGATTCCTGGTACCCTGCCCCTCAGGAGAAGGAGAGGCTTGTTTGGCTCACACTTTGACAAGGTGCAGCTGTAGTCTCGGTCCTGTTGCTGATTCCCATGTGGAGCAGGATGTTGTGGAGAGGGTGTGTGGTGGAGGCAGCAGCTCACCTCTCGGTGAGGGGAGGGACTACAGACCCCTGGCCCCTTTCCAGGGCACACCCCAGGGACCTAACTCCCAAAGGCCCCTCGTCTTCAAGCTTCTGGTAGAGACATGCTGAGGACCACACCCATCACACTGGGCCTTTGGGAACACTCCAGGTCCCAGCAACGGCACTGGCCTCTGTAACCCAGGAGTGTCATTCCCCTGTCAGGTTGGCTTCTTTACGGAACAACTCCTGGAACTCAGAACAGAGGGCTGCTGAGATGTTGTTATGATGGATGTAACTTAGAGCCCTTGCCAGCTGCCCAGGGGGAGGCCTCTGTGCTCCGTCCAGCCCTGCGGAGTCAGGGCACCCCACCCTCCCACATTTGCCCATCAGGCAGGAGAGACTGGATCCCAGACCACGAGGCTGAACACTAGCTCCAGCCCCAGCCTTCCTGGAGTCGGTCTGCCCGGAGCCCCAAACCTCTGTCCCTGCGGTTGCTCTTTCTGGTATTAGCCCCGGCCCTGAAAATACCCAGGGTTCTCAGTAGTCACCACCTCTGCATAACAGACCCTTTTACACCAGGGAAACTCAAGGGTTGCTGAAGCTCTGTGCCAGGAACCAGTGTCATTTTTCATCATAAACCGCCACAGGGGTGCGGGGGGAGACTTGTTCCACAAGAGAGCTGTATCCAGCAGGCTCTCCTCAGGTCTGCACTGTTCTCTTCGGTGGTCAAAGCTGTACCATCCGCCTCCACTGTACCAACCATCCTGTGTTGGCTTCAGCCCAGGGCCATTCACTCAGGGACATCCGCTTGCTGGGTTCACAGAATTGCTGCTGTTCCCAGGCACCAGTAGAACTAAGACCCCAGCAAGGAACACCCCAGAGAGGTAGGTCCAGGGAGAATAGGTGGTGCTTATACTGTGTGTCCCTCCAAAAATCCTCCTGTTGAAATTCCAAATCCCCCAGTTAACAGTATTAGGGGACGGTCTTTAGGAGGTGATTAGGTCATGAGTAATGGTGTTAGCATTCTTATGAAAGATACCCAGGGACTGGGTATCTTCAATCCTTAGCATCACAAAAAATATATTAAAAAAATTAAAAGAAAAAAAAAAAAGCAGGGCACAATGGTGCATACTTTTAATTCCAGTCACTTGACAGGCTGAGTTAGGAGGATCTCAAGTTCAAGACCAGGCAGGGCAACTAGCAAAACCCTGTCTCAAAACATAAGGTCTGGGGGTGTAGCTCAGTGGGAGAGCACCACTGGGTCAATCCCTCCTACCACACACAGGAGAGAGAGGGAGGGAGGGGGGGAAGGAAGCTTCAGCAAGTATCCTCCACCTTGTCACAAAAGGGTGAGTTGCTCCCAAGCCTCACTTGCTGTGTCCCCAGCTCAGGGTTAGTGATTACAGTTTTACAGGGTCAGTGATCACTGGTTTTGTAGTGTGCACACCAAGAGGGAGCCCTCCACACACCAGGGCTTGGGTGGTGGAGAGGTGCTGCGCAACCTCAGCAGCCAAGATGCGCTGCCTGTGGGGGGAAGGGGGAGGGAGCAGGGGTGCCACAAAGGAGGGGAGGGACAGTGGTATGGACAGTGGCTCCAAACCTCCGGCTCAGTTTTGCCGTGAACCTGAAGCTGCTGGGCACCACGCACTGTAT